TTCATTAAAGTTCCTGATCGTTACAAAAGAGAGGCAGGATATGCCCTACTCAAAAAATAAAAAATAAAAAATAAAAAAAAATTAAATAAAAAAAAAAAAAAAAACTGCTTAAGACTCTTTCACAGAAGGAGTGCACCCTCCTTGGTAAAAGAATTAGTAAAGGCATCAACAAGCTTAACCCTAGCAGAACCCTGGAGGGAAGGACATCGTCAACAACTGACACTTGTTCTACCACAGATGCTAAAGTATAGTAGACCGGGGGCAAGACATGAGGGGCAGAGGCGCCCTTCAGAAGCTTAGCAACCTTCTTCTCGTTAGCCTCGGCCAAGGGCTCAATATACTCACCAATAAGCTAGAGACCTTGCCCCACGTCATGCTCATCAGCATCAGCATACCCCCTCTCCTCTACGAGTGTAGATTTATGGATATTTGTCGTTGTTCTTCTACACCTCGTGCAAAAATAATAAAAACCTGCAAATACTTACTAAAAATAATATAGTAATAAGCAGGGTCGAACCACTCTCAAGTTAGATTCCGAATATAGATTCAAAACATCAATTAAAGGGGATGGAGAAAGAATTTTTTTAAACAATTTTTGAATGTTTGAATAATGAAAGTAAAATAAAACAAATAAAAACTAAGATTAAATTATTTTTTTCTTTTTTCAAATAATGGGAATAGTCTTGAGGGATGAGAATCCACCACCGCAGATCCATATAAACAAATTTCTTTTGTTCTTGTCAATTTTCCTTTTATAAGCAATTCACTTCATCAATCCAATTACAACTTGGAAAGACGAAGGAAAATATAAAATTAAACAACACTTGCTTATATAAGAGAGAACATTTTTTATTTAATATGGTAAATCTTTAGTAAATAGAAGTAGGCATTCTCCGAATTACCATTAATTGGCAAACACGAAGAATTCTCCCTTTGAATTTTTTTTCAATAAAATAACACAGAATAGAAGAATAAAAGACATGTTCTAAAGAAGAAAATTAAAACAAGATATGAAAGAAATTCAATTACATGTTAACCATGGTGGCTTCATCTTTCCCTTGAGATAAGGTGTTTAAGCTAGCATACTAACAAGAACGTACAACATAAAAAAAATAATAATAATAATCTTCATTAGAAAGAACTACAAGAAATAAATTCAAGGAAAAAAAAAATCTCTAACTCTTTATTATTTTCTCTCACTAACTCTGTACATTCTACCTCCTCTATATATGTCCCTATTTATAGAGTTTAGAATGGACCGATTGGGAGGGGGAAATTCTAATTACAGAAGTGAAAATAAAATAAAACAAAAATATATCAAATCTTCCTAAAATCTTGTTGCTTTCCAATTTGGCGTGATATGCTTTCTAATTTGGCTTGATCATTGCTGATTTGATGAAAAAGCCAATTTTGAATTTGGATTGATCGTGTAATCTCACATTTTTGCTATTTTTGTCTCTTTTCTTCTCATTTTGAAATCAGCCCCTATAAAACATGAAAAGGAGGGATAAACATATTTATTTAGTAGAAAATATTAATTAATCATTTATTCTTGAGTATAAAATAGCAAGTTTTGTGCACTTATCACTCCTCAACCGGAAGGGACCCTTGAGCGAATCCAAGGCGAAAACCCTTGGCATAGCGGAGTTCTACAATCTAAACGCTGGAACATCTCCAAGCCACCGTCCTTGAAGACCTGCAACTTGGAATTGGCTTTGGCAAGTTGCAGCTCAAGTTTAGCGGCTTTGTTTTCCATCTCTCGGGATCTCTTACCGAAGTATTCAGCCGTCTAACGGCTCTTTTTGCTCTCCTTTTGGGCATTCTTAACAGAAGCCTCCAAGGGATCAATCCTCTTTTAGAGGGCTTCAGCTTGATTAGCCTGAAGAAAGGAGTAGACAGCTTCTTCAGGAGAGCGAACATCAAAAAGGAGCTCTGCAGAAGACAAACACAAAGTATCAGAGGCAAATAGGGAAACAAAGGTACACTTGAACATACAAATAATTGCCAAAATTCACTACCTCCATAATAGATTGGGGCCAAGAGAAAGGAGATCTTCAATACTCATTTGCTGCTGGTTGATCTCATCCCTGGGTGGCCACATCCCTCTGGCCAAACCCATCATAGTTTTCGGGTCCTCAGCCCCGGAATTGCCAATGGCAATCACAGAATCATCAGCCTTCAGCATCTCGGGAAACCATTTCTCTTTGGATCCCGCAAAGTCATCGCCAGCACAACCAGCGGAAGCAATGACGCCAGAGAGGAAAACCATTTCTCTCTGAAAGCCCCAGCCATGAGCTTGAGGCGCTTGGGATCAGGGGCATCCCTTGACAGCTGGCGCTTTGACACCAACGAAGATGAAACCCCCTCAGCTTTTGAGAAGAAGGGGTGTTTTTAGCCTCAAGGAGCATGTTTTTTTCGCTCGTGAGCCAGTTTCATTGCTGCCTCTCTCTCTTTTTTGGAGAAACGAGCCTTTGGAGGAGGAAGTTCCATTGTTGATGTGGAAAGAGGAGGATGAATGGAAGAAGCGGGCTCAACTTCAGAATCAGAGTCCCCAAGGTCGATAGGCTCCTTGGGATCTTGTGGAGCAAACGGGGGATCTCTAGAGATGATGTCAAGCAGAGAAGAGGACAGAAGAATTCTTGCAGAAGAAACGTTGTCTTAAACGTTTGCTTGGAGATACTCGAGCCTCAAATTTGCAAATTTATAAGGAAACAAATCAATCTTATGACCCAGAAAATCATAAATAAAACAAAAAAGCTTGACTACACAAACAAAGCAAGAAGACTCGCCATTGTCATCAAACAAAGGGACAGAAGGGGTATGAAAGCTTGACCGAACGGGAAATTCCTGAAGAGACAAAGGGCGCCAGGCACCCCTAACCTTAAAAATTTTCTCTTTCCATTCCTTATCAGAAGAATTAAGGTTAGAGAATAAAGCACGGTTCGTGCGGGTGTGAAAGTGATATCTACCTTCTTCATCCCTAATCCTATTGAGCGAATAACAAAAGAGGAGATCGGCAAAATTCAGGGATAACCTTCTGACTCGATTCAAAGCCAAAAGACATGAAAGGATACGAAAGAAATTAGGGTTTACTTGAAGAGGGGCCAAATTCAGAACCGAGAGAACTCGAAGGTTGAAAGGATTCAGCAGAAACCTGAAGGTAGACAAGTCATGAGCCGAGAAAAGCATCTCGCCCTCCTCAAGACCCTCACCGGTACTGAAATTCAAGTGGTGAGGGTACTCGTCAAGGGAAACGTCTATGGGAATATTTTTTTTCTCCTCAGTTGAAGAACGGAAACAGATTTCCTCTCCATTACATCAATGGGAAGAACAATTGGACCCTCAACAAAACACTGACCACTCATGCTGACTTCAGGCACTCCCGATTTGGATTCAGAAACCCAAGCACTCAAGGTGCGACTACTGCTCCCTTGACTCGTAACTTTGAATCGAATGGGAAAGAAAAACGAAATAGAGGTCGAAGAAGACTGACCTTCGTGAAACGGATGATATCGCTGTAAGGAAAAGGACTTCACAGATGCCAAATATCTCTCTCAGTGTACAGCCCGATGATGACAATGCGGCATATATAAAGACACAAAGAAGGTGAACGTGCAAAGAGGAAAGTGGCTGCACGAAACTCTAAAGACGCAATCTTCGAAAAAAGGCAATGATGAACATTAACATTCAGAAATTGCTCAACTTCCAAAGACAGTTACAATTCCTTACATGAATCAAATTCATAAAAGGAATTAGGGGTAAAATGTGGAGGGAAATTTTCCCACCACTCATGAAACGCCACATGTCGGCAGAGTAAAACAAAGAGGCCCAATCATATACACAGCCCAGAGGAAGAAGCCCATTGCATGAAGGTCCAGCAGGAAAAGGCCCAACACCCAAAGCGGCCCAAGGATTAAGATCCATTCCGACAAGCCAAGCTTTAGGTTACAGCCACATGCAGCTGGCAATAATACCTAGAAGTAAATGATGTACAATTATGAAAATTTAAGGCCATATATGTAACGGTACATAACGGCCCCAAAAAATCCTGACTATAGCAAATATAAATACAAAGGGCAAGACCCAAAGAAGATCATCTGATTCCCTTTGCAATTAGCCTTTGCTCTTCCTTGATCTCTTTCTCAATACTCTGTTTAACAGTTTGCATACTTTCTTGATTAAGTGATTGAAGTGTTGATCGTTCGGGTCGAATCATCAAATTTGGGCTGAAATTTTATACACCTACACAATTCACATATCTCGATCACATTATTAGTCAATCAACCTCCTTTCAAAATGTTATTTCAATACATACTTTCACATTCGTAGAAAAAGAAACAACATACTCCAATACAACACAAGAAAATCACGAATCTTCAACAGGCTTAATCAGATGGGTACCACATTCTAATTCAAATGGACATAGAAGGCTTCAGGTACTCCCTAAGCCTCTTCTCAAATAAATTAGTTTCTGGAAACTTAACAACTCCATTCAAATCAAACAAGTTTTGAACTTTGAATTATTATATCTTCCCTTACCCCAACACATCCAACAACCTATCAGCCACAAATCAATGTATTACTCATTAGCTAACTGTTCAGTGTATTAATCGGTCGTTGGATCGAACACCAAAACAGAAAATTATGACTATATACGTGAGATGCCTGAGAGGCTGGCTTTGCGGAGGAAGAGAGCCGTGAGCACCTAGGAGAAGTTGCAGATTCGTGAACATCCTTTGCGCGATAGTTTGAAAAAACAATTCAGGGCAAATTTGTCCATGAGGAAATTTTTTCGTAACTCAAATCACTGAGTGTGTTCTGCGTTCAGTGATAAGTAAACTCCCTCTCACTTGAGACTGACATATTTTAAGTGGTACCCAAAATTCCCAAATTAAGTTATTAAATGCACTTATTTAAAGAATCACTTAATTTGTTCAGATTTAAGTGCTTAATTGCATTATCTAAACATCACCTTAATGTTTAATTCTGGGATTGTGCAGGCCTCCGGCTATTCAAAGAGGCAAAGGATAGGGAATTTCATGGGAAGGTTGGTAGAATTAATTCAACATTTAAGAGTTCTAAAAACTATTTCTTGTTGAGTATGTTTTTTTATTTTTTTATTTTTATTTTTATTTTTTGCAGTGGGATGATCATCCTGCAATAATGGCCGTGGGTGTAGTTGATGGAACTTCAGAGGCCATTTTCCAAACATTCATGTCTCTTGGTCCTTCAAGATCAGAGTAAGTTTGTGGATTTTTTTCATCTTCCAATAGTTTAGTGTTTATATATTAAAGCTTTTGTAATAGCTGTAGTGTCATTACAATTTTGTAACCTGTAGTTCTGCAGAGATGTGATCCTGGGATAGACATTTCTATGTCAACAAAAGAAACATATACAGAAAGGAACTGAAAAAAAGAATTGACATGGTTTTTGACTATTTGTGTGATCAAAGACTATCAAATAGGGCACCCAGTCACTAACCAACATTTCAGAGAATCTTGGCTGTTGGATGCCCTGTCACTAAACTGCATGGTGGTTTTCTTTATTTTTCTGTTGGTATCTTATGAATTTGCGGACTTGTAATTCTATTATTCTAGGACCGAAAAAACTACAAAATCATTAGTGATGCATGTTAAAAAGTTCATACATGTGGTGCTTTATTAATTAATAAATAATGAGACTGGAAATTAAAAATTAAGTTAGCAAGAACTTCAATTTTAAGAAAGGTAAAAGGAAAACTTACAAGCTAATGCGTGGAATCCTCTGTACTTAAAAGCGATCCTGCCTCCACTAGGAACCCATGGCTCACTTTGAGATGGTCCTCTGGTGATCACCCTTCACCACCAGGTTACAATGACAACCTTCAACTATGTGCACTTAAAATTGAAGACTTGAATTCGTCTGAATTAAGCCCTAGATGAACTATTAAAATAATATGGTCTTCAAAATTTGCTTAGGAACTGCTAGAAAAATTTTAGAAAATTATTATTGCATTGACAGAAAAAGTCGACGAATTGTTGGAATGTGGTTAGAGAGTTGCCAGAGTTTGTCAGAATTTCAGTCGAAGGGTGATGAGAGATTGACGCAAGTAGGCAGAATTTGTCAGAATTTCAGTCGAAGAGTGATCAGAGATTGGAGAAAGTAGTCTAGATCCAGATACTACTGTTGGCCAGAAGCCTAAAAGCTTATGAGAGCCAGAGAGAGTTCTGAGAGATTGGGAGAAATAGAAGAGGGCTATTGTTGAGGTTTTGGATGGTTTTGAAAAACAGACCCTCTCATGCTCGTTGCCTAGCCCAACACGACATGGCAACACCGGCACGTGTTGTATTTTTGTCCCTAGCCTTGCCTAAAGGCCCTAAAAATAGTTATCCCTCTCAGTGAGTTCTTGTTCTTGCCAAATAGTGTAACTTGTACGGACCCTTTAGTTCTCTCTATGTGAAACAAGCCTAACTTTATTGTTTGAAGCATTTCAAATGATCTCTCAATTAATTCAAGATAACGAAAAATTATGAGAAATTATTAAAAACAATGGTCATAAAGGTAAGTGCATAGGTGTCCACGTCATTTGACTTGAATCAACATGTAGTATAATCTAGCAGTAGATCACAATCATTACGTGATCTAAGTCTTGAGCCTAATGCCTTTGCGTGAACTAGCCAACTAGTACACAAAGTATCTTTGATTTGATGAGTTCTCTTGGATTCCATGTTTGGTCATGCGTCCTTTTACTTGGATTTGATTATTGCTCTAGAGTGTGTAATCATACAATTTTAGGTAACAACCTTCACTTTTTGACACTTATATGGATGGACTCATAAGGTGTGTACCCCGACACTACCTTACAAGGTTATGAGTCCATTAAGAGCATTTGATCAGCTTTTTCTTTGGTATTTAGCACCATATCAGTCAATACCATATGGAGGGACATCAATAGTGCTCCAGAGAATCTCTTCATGACTTGTTGTCACCCTTTAAACCTTCTTGCGCGGATCTTCATTAAAAAAGGTTGGTTTCTTATCATAGATGACTCACTCTATTGACTTAAGTTTCATCCTCTTTGACTAATTGAAAATTAATCTTCTTGACAGCCCTTTTGTCAGCAAAACACCAGATTCCTTTCAGACTGTTAGCAAATTGCAAAATTATCATCTCATTCTTATGAGCTATCCTTCAATAATATCCAGTCATATATGTCTTTCCTTTCCACTGTATTCTCCTTTCCTTAGCTTGAGCTATGGCTTCTACAAACCAGCAGATTACCACAGAATTGGTTTTTTCCACTTCACATCAGAGGATTTCTCAATCATTCTGCTTCTAAGACAGACTTGTAGAAAATATAGAAATAGACTTTATCGTTTTACTGTTATAATGATATGTTATAGAATATATTGACAGTTAAAAGCTATTTAATATGAAGTTTGGTCATGGGGTGGAACATGATTCCTTTTTCTTTTTTCTTTTTTCTTTTTTCTTTTTTGGTTTGTCAGTGAATCAATTTTTGCTAAGAGAGAGAGAGAGAGAACTTTCCTTTATCAAAATTTGGTAATAGAGACAGGGTGGAAATACTTTCCTCTCTTGTATGTATATTTATAAGACAAGGAGTAACAAATCTCTTGCTAACAACATATTGCTTAATAATGCTGTGTAAGTGTGGTCCACGGTGGAATGGAGTTCCCAAAATAAACTTCTAATGTCATAACACCATTCACCTATTCCCATGTCGTCCACTTCTATATTTGCGCTTTTGGGCGTCCACACAGGTGAATGCTCCAACACCCTCGACAAGTGTACTGCTTTCGTTGTGGTATTTGTCAACTGCCAAGGTCCCCTTTATTCTTTTATTCATTAATGACAGAGAATTATCAGCTTATGCAACAATATTGCAAAGTACCAAATTGGAAGCCACCTATGGTGCTGACAGTTGTACACAGCTGTGGCCATCCTTGGTCCTACAGCGTAAGGATTTAAAAACACCATGAATCTAATCACCAAAAAATTCTATGTTGATCGACCTGTTCCTGTTTTTCCTGGGTTTAACGCTGAGTTATGGTAGGACTATTTGGAGAAGATCTCTGCCATAACAGATCCATGTCAAATTTTAAGTCCATTCACTATTTTTTTTTTCTTTTCCTGATAATCGAGTGTTATTTTCTTTTGTCTTGCAGATGGGACTTCTGTTTTTACAAGGGTAGTGTCATTGAGCACCTTGATGGCCATACTGATATCATTCACAAGTTGTTATATGGCGATTGGTTATCCTGGTCTGATTTAAACATATAGTTTTTATAGCAAATGTTTTTAATGGAGTTATTCAAGAGTTTATATATTGTATAGGTTCTGTGTTTGACGTATTATACTTTGCAGGGGGATGAAACGAAGAGATCTATTGTTGCAGCGTTATTGGAGAAGGGAGGACGATGGGACATATGGTAATGATATTTTTAAAGCAATGTTACAAGATAATATCACCCATAGATCCATTCAAATCAGAGAATAACTCCCTTTGGTTTTTGCTCTTGCAGTTATTCTCTACCATTCTGTGTTTCACAAGAAGTGTCAACCTCAGAGGGGCTATGTCCGTGCCTGCCTTAAAAGTAATGTATGCTTAAAATTAGAAGTTACATAAAATTTTCTTAGTAGCTATGGAGTTCCTTATATCATATGTTGTCTATATATACATTATATCTGTTGGTATTTTGTACTTGTGGTATATAAGTCGTCTAGTGCACATGCGTGCATGGTTGTGACTGAGCTAAGTTGTCCATTTTGGCATTCATTGGTCTTTTGATCTGAAATGTGCATGGTTGACTCTCATTATTCCATGAATAAGATGACATTTTTCACGCTCTTGTAGGTGGAGGATATGTAATATCTCCCATGAATCAAGGGAAACAATCAGTTGTAAAACACATGCTTGCTATTGACTGGAAATTCTGGAAATCTTATCTAAAAACATCTTCAGCCCGATCTATAACAATCCGCATGCTTGGAAGGGTAGCTGGTATGTTTCTATGTCTTACATAAATTCACCATACTCCTACTCTAATACATGTGTACATTTGCTTTCCATTTTCTGGATCTTCTTTTTACTGAATCAGTATTTCTATTTTTTGTATTTCAGCATTACGAGAGTTGTTTAGAGCAAAAATAGGAGATTACTCGTCCTCTGATTTTTCATCGGGTGAAGAAGATACTAAGGTTGGTATTCAGACAAGGGCAGAGAATGGAAAGGGTAAAGAAGATAAGGAGGAAGAAGAAATGGTTAAAACACCTTCAGAATATGCAAGCCTTGTAGGACTGAATGATGCAGCGGATGAGTTCTTTGACGTCTCAGAACCGCTGGATTATGACCAGTCAGAAAATGGCTGGCCTTCTGAATTTGGTCCAGAAATGTACTCTCAGGTATGGCCTACTTTCTCTTTTTGTCACGGGAGGGATGGAATTAATAGTTTAGGACCTGCTGCATCAATCATTGCCTCAGTTTGAGGCATACTGAAGATACCCAAACCATGATGAAACTATGGGAAGCTAGAGTATGGATGAATGCTTTCTTCAGATATTTTGTGGGTATAAATTTTAAACTTGTTACAATTAGGTGATGATCCTTACCCTCCCAATGTTCACAGAATAAAGTGGACTTCTAACATAGTCTCACTAGAAAATGAGTAAATCCAGGGGATGTGAGTGAACATACATCTGTATCTATGTACACGATAAAGTTTTCTTTGGGTAGATACAAAGGATACTGTCTGCATAATGTATACCACCAGGTAATCTGGATATGTTAATGTCCAAATACTTGGTTTTCTGCCCTTATTTTTCTCCGCTTGATTCACTTCACAAAACTAACCCCATTATGCTCACCCCCACTCTTCAACCTACTTTACTCATTGCTCATTATTGTCTAGGTATTACTTTGCATTTCAAAAAAATGCTGTTAATTACAGTAGATGTTTCTTGTCCTGGTTTTCTCACTTGGCTCCTTTGGCTTGCGAGTATTACAGGATATCCGCCAACCCAGGTTGTCAACTGCTGCTGGTTTTGTGAAAAAATTGCACGACCTTGCTGGTGAGTCCAACTTGTTCAATCCATATTAAACATAATATATAGACTGGTAGGGTCTTCCCTTTTCTGGTTGTTCCCATAAATAGTTTTTCTTAGTTTTCATGAATTACTGATTGCTGAGACTCCTGTACGCTGCAGTTCATAAGAGGGGTTATGTGGATATACAAGAGATGGGGAGGGAAGATGGTGTTTCATACGTCTTCGGAACCACTCTTCCAAAAGATCCTACCTGTAATTTGCTCTGCAGTTGGACAGCGGAAGATCCCTCTACATTTCTAATTCGTGGAGAGAAGTATCTAGAAGACCATAAGAAGGTGCCCAGGAATATATAATTTTAATAATTGGAACTCCAAATCTGCAATTTATTATTCTTGTCTTGATATTGGGCTTTCTGTTAGCGTTTGGACTCCTTTTAGCAGCAGCAGTTCAATAATTAATTTAAACTGACACAAGTTTTTTGAGGAAAAGTTTTGCTTGTATTTCATGATAAGGAGGTCACTTTTTTTATGCAATGGTAATTGTTTAGGCTGATAAGTTTGAGAATGTGGTTCAAGTCTGTGATCAGTCATTTTTTATAAAATAATGTCAAATGGTTGTCTTGAGTGTTCCGCTCCCAGAACCCTGTATATGCCAGACTTAACACCTTTTTTATGGTACATGATGTGTTCATCATGCTCCGCAATTGAAGTAACCAGTTTATTGATGGTCTTACTTTTAGTTGCATTATATTGCTACTCTGAAGGACAGTGCTCTCTGATAATCAGAGTACAGTTATGGGTTTGTTTTTCGTTATCCTCATTTTTAGTTATTGTGTGTAAAATATGTTACCTGGTTCGAATATATATCAAATTTGAGGTTCTATCTTCTTAGCTATCCAGCAAAACAATAGTTTGTTTGAATTTTTTTTTTTTCATATACTTTTGTCCTTTCCTGTCACAACAAATACGGTACAAAGGAACTAAGGGAGCCTACTAAAAAAACTAGTCTTAGATGTATTACACCCAGATATGTTGAAACCGACTTAGCTGAGGCTTAATGGTGTTTGGTTTCCAAAATCTGTAAATTTGTGGGTTTAACATCCAAGGGACCATCTTGCCAGCACAGAGTCCTTAATCATGGTAGTTTTAAGAACTATATTTATGTTATTTGTGTGAAATATCGACTCAGGTTCAGTTGAAGATAGAACTATAGATTTGTAGGTGCTCGCGTTAATTGAACAAAAGATTGTTTGTACACCTTTGTCCCTTTCTGTTCCAATAAATATGGTAAAAAGAACCCCCCACCCCCTTCTTTTCTCTCTCTCTCCCTCTTCCAAACAAAAGAAAGAGGAGGAAAAGGGTGCTGACTTGGAAACTGGTCCAGACAAGGCTGGTTTTTTTTTTTTTTAAACTGTAAATTTGAGAGACCAACATCTAAGGAACCATGTTGCCAGCACAGTGTTAATCACGGTACCGTTAGCAAATATAATTATATTTGTTTCATTTGTGTGAAAGATCCCCAGACCCAGAACTCTAATTTGAAGATAGAATCATAGATTTGCTGGTGCTTGTTTAGTTTATTTATCCTTCTGTTCCTTCTTTCCAGATTAAGGCCAAAGGCACACTGATGCAAATGGTTGCTGCAGATTGGCTGAGATCTGACAAGCGAGAAGATGATCTTGCTGGTCGTCCTGGGAGCATGGTTCAGGTTGATCTGTTATTTCACATAAAATTTCGTGTCAAATTAAGATTTTTTGTCAGAAATGTACTCATTACATTATCATGGTGTTATGCGGTCGAAAGAAATCTGATACTAGCTTTCTTCCACAGAAATATGCAGCAAAGGGTGGCCCAGAATACTTCTTTATTGTAAACATACAGGTGAATCTAGTTTTTTTATTTTTTATTTTTATTTTATATTTCCCCCCCTAATTGTGGTATCAGAAAGAATCAAATATTTCATTATGAAAACCACAATGAACCAGGTCCCAGGTTCAACAACCTATAGTCTTGCTCTATATTATATGATGAATACTCCTGTAGAAGATGAACCCTTGCTAGAGAGCTTCATCAAAGGAGATGATGCATATAGAAATTCAAGATTTAAGCTCATACCATACATATCTCAGGTTAGTATATGTATGTGATGGATTCTGCATGGAATTAAATTCCTAATGAGGTTATTTTTCTCTAATTTTATTGTTCCCAGAATAATTTATAGAAACAAGAAATATGTTTAATTTTATTCAAATAATAGTTGTTTACATTTCTCCATTTTAATAGATTTGCTTTATCAAATTTTTTAAACATGAGCCCCGTTGTAATCTCAGTCAAAAGTCCTCTCTTGTGGTCTATGATATGAAGAAACTAAAATTAGTAAACTATGCATACCAACTCCTATGATTTCTCTTCCAAAATAACACTATATGATCTTCATTATGTTGCATAAACCCCATTTCACATCATAAATAGTCCATGGATCACTTGCTGCTTATACTTTGTTTTCTCAGGGATCATGGATAGTCAAGCAGAGTGTTGGAAAGAAAGCATGCCTGGTGGGTCAAGCACTTGAAATTAATTATTTCCGCGGGAAGAACTACTTGGAGGTAAAGTACAATAGTTTTGTCCTAAATAAACAGTGAGAGTAGGTGAAGTTCAAACCATTTCTTGCTCATTTGCATCCCGCATAATTTAATTCTATGGACTCTTATACCATAGCCATGCTTTGGTAGTCGTAAGTTTTATGCTTTTGCTAGTCCGTGATTGTAAAAGTGGGCTTTGGCTTGTATTCTGGGATGTTCCTGTCTTAAGCTTTTGAATACCATTCACTTTTGCTATGGGAAAGATGGATTACTGGATGTTCCTGTTGTTTTGGTGAAGACGGTTAATAATCCAATCAATGCCTTGATTTAATATACTGTGATTGGTAGCAAAATGAACTAAGGAACTTAATTTAAAAAGAGCTCTCCAATAGACAATCATGTATTCAGTCTCAAATTAAAAATTAAAAGAAACAGGTTTATTTGGCATGGGTGTTGTCATGTTATGATATGTTGATTCTGTAATTTTTAATTCTGATTTCAGCTTGGGATTAACATTGGGTCATCTACGGTTGCAAGAGGTGTGGTCAGCCTAGTGCTCGGCTACCTGAACAATCTGGTCATTGAAATGGCGTTTCTAATACAGGTAAACTAACTATACCTAAAAAGATGGCAGCGGGTTCTTCAATTTTGTAATAAATTATTTGAACCAAGACAAACCATTCTGGTGCATTTAGTTCCTCATGTATTTTGAAATTGTAAACCAAATTCTCTCCAGTTCATTGGTTGCTTTAATTTTAAATAATGTTCTTCACTCTATGTTGCATTCACAGTAGCACCTTCGTTGATAATTCTAATAATATAAACTCATCTCTAGATTTTAATTTATCTGCGCAGTCTAACACACCAGAGGAACTCCCGGAGTATCTCCTTGGGACCTGCCGCCTTAACCATTTGGACACCTCCAAAGCAGTCCTGGTGAAACCTTGATCTGCTCGAGTCCAGTTTTCTCTTCCTTTGAAGTTGGGGTTATTGAGTAGAACCTAAAGGGTAGATGATGCCAAACTAAAATGTTTGTTCTGCAAACCAGTTTGCCAATATCATTCTTTCATTCAATCAAATTCAAATGGATAGCATTGTTTCGCGTCACGGTGATTGTAAGGAAGGATAGCCAAACCTCTGTATAGAGACTCTCAACTAGAGTTCATACTTACAGCATTGATTTGTAAAAAATGTTCGCAGCGTTATTTCGTGTTTTTTTTTTCTTTCTTTTTCTTTTTTGACATATCATTTTGTCATGAATATGAACTACTGTACATGATAATGAGCATATACACTTGCACATGAATCTTGGGTATTGTTATAGAGTGATCTTATGGGAAACATGATGGAGACTCGAGTATTCCAGTAAATATAGAGATTAAAAGGAACTTGAAACAGGTTTTGTAACAGCAGATAAACTTGATTTAGTGACTTTTGGTGCCAATTGTGTATTATGGTTGAATTTCAATAAGTTTTGTCACTAACTTTGTTCGTTTGGATGTAAAATATTTTTTTATTTTTTGGTATTTGATTTTCGTAAAATATTTACAAAGGAAAAATATATTAAAATTTTATAAAAATAATTTATTCATTAATTTTTGTTAAGTTATTTTATACATCCCTCCTGAAGGATTCAACCTAAACTTTGATCTCGATTTAAATTTTTGCCAAACACCGAAAAGTATAAATAAAAAAAAATATTTTACTTAAAAAATGAAAATATTTTTTGCAAAAAACTATTTTAGGTCGAGCTTAAACCTCCAAATGTGTGTGCACAATGTTGACGATAGAGCAACATTTTGGTATCTATTCCTTTTAAGAAAATAATACTACTATAAACGTTAAATAATGAACCCAAGAAAAGTTAGGTAAATCATTTGAATGACCTGTCCACTTATCGGCATAGGATGGATGGCAAGAAGCTAGAAATTCAGGAGCTTGAACTTTTTCAGGACGTTAAAAAATATTATTATTAGTTTTTTTTTTAATCTAGTCTTTTAAGAGGACGAATTTTAATATTTTTTTATTGAATTAATATCAAATATGTTCATAGTGGATCCAAATGATGTAATGGTTTACTTTTTATAAGTTCAATGTAAGAAGATTAAATTGATAATATTAAAAAATATATATATACAGTACTTTTGAGTTTTTAAATGAGATTTTTACAACAAAAAATGTGAATTTGAGACAGAGATAGTTAAAAATAGCAAGATGGCACCATCCAAAGCATACGTGTATGGACACTTCTATGATTTATTTTCTCGTTTTTTCCCTCAAATTAAGGACTCTTCATCATGACAGCAAGGTCCAAAAGGTAGGACATTGAGAAAATACAGAAACACGAGCGAGGAAAGAACATCCGAAACAAGGAAACAGTGTTATATACAATATGTGTGTGTGTGTATATATATATGGAAGTGTTAACACCTAAAATATAATTCGAGGCAATCATGCCACGTGGTCAGAAATCATGAAGTCTGAACTTTGGGTCGACCCATGGTCATCAGGGCGAGAGATTAATTTCTAATCATGGCGATCCGATTTAAGGCTGAGAATGAAGAAGAGTGGAATTTTTTGGGCCATTAAGACTGATATAAGGTTTTGAGCCCATAACCGGCCATGATTGAGAGTCTCGGTCACTATGGCTATGACTCCCAGTCTCAATGGTCATGATCATAAGTCTTAGGCCAAAACCTTCTCAGTTATCTTGGCCATGATTGAGAGTCTCAGTCACTATGGTTATGACTCCCAGTCTCAATGGTCGTGATCATGAGTCTTAGGCCAAAACCTTCTCGGTCATCCTGGTCATGAGAGTCTCAGTCATCATGATCATAAGTCTTAGGCCAAAACCTTCTCAGTCATCTTGGCCATGATTGAGAGTCTCAGTCACTATGGTTATGACTCCTAGTCTCAATGGTCATGATCATGAGTCTTAGGCCAAAGCCTTCTCGGTCATCCTGGTCATGAGAGTCTCAGTCATCATGATCATAAGTCTTAGGCCAAAACCTTCTCAGTCATCATGAGAGTCTCAGTCTCATGGTCGTAAGTTTTAGGCCAAAATCTTCTCAGTCACTATGGCTATGACTCCTAGTCTCAATGGTCATGATCATGAGTCTTAGGCCAAAACCTTCTCAGTCACTATGGTCATGATCATAAGTTTTAGGCCAAAATACTCTCAGTCACAACTTTCTCAATCACAACGGTCATGGTCAGGACACCTTCAGTCATAATGGTCATGATTATGAATCTTAACCAAGATTTCTAATCACTATGGCCATGATCAAGACTTATGACCAAATATGGTCATGATCAGGGGTCTCGGGTCATAATCACTTGAGGAATCTTTGGGGTAATTCAAATAAAGACCAATTGTGAATCCCAATGTTTCGAGAACCCAACAAGTCAGGTCTAGAAGTTTGAGGAAAGCTTGAAATAGAAAAGGACAACTTGACAATGTAAGAAGTTCAGAACTACAGATGGAAGGTTCTCACCAACATCTGATGAGGAAAGTCAGGATTGTCAGTAATCAGATGACTCCAGGCTAATGTACAAATCAAGCCAGACATGACAGGTGCAGAGAGCTGAAAATGGCTTGAAGACCAAAATCATCAAGCATGAAAGAATAGGCACCATTTAGTCAAAAATACTATGTCAGACATACTTGTATCTGCCTATAGAGGGATGTGCAAGTTAGTTAACCCTTCCAGCTGGTGGTTAGGAAAAGTCACTTTCAGCTTACAACCAATCAATTTCTAGAGAAACGGTTGAAAGGGACAACACCAGGTGGAAGCCTCTATAAATACCCACTCAAGCATCACAAGGAAGAGGTCCAAGACCATTTCTAAAGTTCAACTTTTAGCATTCCTATCATTTAGCACTTAGCTTTTATTTCATTAAGTTTAGCTTAACACTATCAGTTTAGTACTTAGTTCATCTTCTAGCATTTAATACTTTAGTTTCCATTTCAATCAAGAGTTTGTAATTCATTCATCATTGTAATCAGTCAAGTTCAATGAAGAAAGGTTTGCAGATTCAGGTATATTTATTGTCCAGTTAAGTTGCTTCTAATTCATATTTATCTTGAGTGTTTAAAGTCCTTTCTTAAAGGCAATAGCAACCTTAAGGAGAGGGTCATTCCTACTCTCCAACTTTCGCCTGAATCACCTTAGGTCGGTGACCCGACCTGATAGGAATAGTTTGGCAAGAAATATTCGAGTCCATCAGGACTCTGGCACGCCCGCGTTCTAGGTCAGCCGTTCATTGGCTAGCGACCTCAGACCACTTTGTGAGCCAAACAACTTTGGCACGCCCGGTGGGACTTGTGTTTTATTTGTGAATGGTCGTCGAGACTAGGTCACAGACTCAGACTTCAGCTGGACAAGCTAACCCTCAAAGGGAAGATCAGGAAGAAAATTAGCCTGCTCCCATCATGCAAGATTCCGGGTCTGAGCATGAAGAGGGACATTAGGCTAGCCACCAAATGGCGGCCGAAAGTGTCAACAATATGGTGACACGATTTGAAAGTATAGTGGAGGCTTCCCAATGCCAAGTCGCTTGGGAAATCAACAAAAATATGGAGCCATTGGTGGCTTCATCTCACATGACTAATACTCAGCTCCAACAGCTGAATGAGGTGATTAATGCCTTAGTGACTCGTATTGATAGGCAGGTTATTGCTCAGCCGCCTAGGTTAGAAAACCAGAATGATAGACCCGTGGACTAGTTTCTTCCTCAACAAGTTGGTCAACCAGAAATAGGTGTCCAGCCACATCCCATGGTTAATGGTCCTCGACCAGTAGCTCCAATTCCACCACAAGTCCATCCAGTAGAGCAATGAGTGAATGGTCACCAACAACCAAGATGGAGGAATCATGACCAACCTAATGGTCGACCTCCTTATTTTCAACCTCAAGTCTTGCCACCTCAGGCTGCGAACCGAGGGGGGCAAGAGTGACATAACCCTTGGCCCAATGTCCCTTTTCAGAACCAAGTCCCACCTATGGTCATGACTAGAGAGCAATTGGCTGAGGTCATACAAGAACAGTATGGACCAGCTTTAAAAAGGCTACTCGACCTACTTTCAGGCACCTATTTCCTGATTGGATAGATCAGATGGATCTCCCCCAAAATTTTCGGGTGCCGAACTTTGCAACCTTCTCAGGAGAAGGCAACCAATCGACTCTTGAGTATATTGGCTATTTCACATTAAAATGTGGGCCGCTTAGCAACAATGATTGGTATAAAATGAAGTTATTCTCTAACACTCTCACTGAGACTGCCTTCAAGTGGTATCTAAACTTGCCACAAAATTCCATCCACACTTGGCAACAGATGCAGGATGTGTTCCATGATCAGTTCTATAGGACAGAACTAGAAGTCTCTATGTCTGACCTATCTAGGATCCATCAGTTACCAAATGAGGATGTTGAGACATTTTTGGCTAGGTTTAAGAAAGCACGAAATAGGTGCCAACTTACTTTGCCTGAAGAAGAATTTGTCAACTTGGCCCTTAGCGGTTTAGACTTTGAATTACGAAAGAAGTTCAAGGGTACTCATTTTGGAGATTTGTTCCAATTAGCCGATAGGGTTACCAAGTATGAAAAAATCTTACGAGAGGAAAAACTCCTCTCGGGGGACCTATTATAAGGACCCTAATTATGAAATACACATGGTTGATACAGTATACGATGAACTAGAGGTCGATGCTGTTGAAATTATTTCAAAAAAACCATATGTATGTAAAGCTTTAGCTAAGCCCTTAGAGACTGTTAGTGGTGTTCAACCCTTATCATCTTCAGCCAAAAGGAATATCTTTGAGGCTGGCAAACAATATGCTTTCGATATAAGTAAAGCAGAGCAAATCTTTGACCATCTGTTGTCTGATAAAATTATCAAAGTCACTGGGGTACATAAAATACCTTCAGCTGATGAAATCAAGGGTCGAGAGTATTGCAAATATCATAACTCCTGGAATCACGCAACTAATAATTGTGTTGTTTTTCGTAATGTGATTCAGGCACAGATCGAGAAGGGGGCATGGAAGTTCCCGGAGAAGAAGAAAGAGGTGATGAGCGTTGACAGTGATCCATTCCCAACCTTGGTCAGCAGTAACATGGTCGAAATCTCAATGGCCAGCAGGCCACGAAGAAGAATTGATTTTGAGGATACTTCAGCTAACAGAGAAAGCAAGGCTGAAGGAAAGAAGCCAATGGTTAAGGAAATTCCAAGGTCTAAGGATGACTTAGAAAAGGAGTTGCGGGAGGCTCAACTGGCGTTGATCAAGCAAGGATTATGCCCTAAATGCAAGACAGACATTGGAAGGGACCGAGAGAGGTTCCATAGCGACGCTCGAGGATGTCCTAGAAGTTCACGTCATGAAAACAGACCTAGGTCACCCTCGTCTAGGGTGCTTGTGACAAGTCGATTAACATGGCCTGATAGAAGGTCTAATACCAATGAGCATCACAAGCGAAGGCGAGAAGTGAACTCCAACAGTCGGTCAAGGAATCTTACTCATGCTGTCTGGAAGCCGATGGAGCATAACTCAAATGTGGCTCGCCAGGCTGAGACATCAGTTAACCACCCAAACCATAGGCAAAGGATGGTCAAGCCACCAGTCACTGATGATGGTCGATGGTCAAGGGTGAGTCATCCAAAGTTCTCTAGGGTCAGGGATATCCTGCCAGCATTCATGACTCGCACTCAAGTAAGACGGTGGCAGCGGATGAAAACTGAGTTAAAGAGAATGGAAGAAAAATATTCAGCTCCACAGCCAGGGAAGGTGACTTTGCTTAGGGGAGAACCTATCAAGCAAGATTCAAAAAGTGATCCGAAAGGAAAATCCAAGGAAGATAGTGCAGACGGAAATGGATGCACTGAAGAGAAATGTGCGTCTTCCTCCATGAAAGAAGCTGAAGATGAAGCAGGATTTGGTGATGACGAACTCGACCTGGATGACCAGGATGATGGTTCAAAAGGTATCAAATTTGGTTCATTTGAAGGAATTGTGAATTGCAATATGGTTCTTACCTTGCCTCATATTTTTGAGGCTAAGCCTGATCAACCTTCCGCCATGGAGGGAGACGTCGAGGTGATAGATGATGAAGGCCAGGAAGTTCCAGAGATTATTGAGAACCTATCTGAGTCGATCACCGAAGACAAGAAACAGAAAGTCGCTGTGATAAGAGCTAAACCACGAGATGATGAGTCAGTGACTATTAGGAGAGATCAGGCGGCTAGGGTGATTTTTGAGAAGCCTTCTGCGGCAATGTCTCAACACTTGAAACCACTCTATATCAGAGTGTTCCTAGAAGGGATGCCAGTGTCTCGAGCACTGATAGATAATGGATCTGCGGTTAATATCCTTCCGATGAACACCATGAGGTTGCTGCAAAAAACGGAAGATGACTTGATTCCCACTGACTTGACAGTCAGTAATTTCACGGGGGGCAGAGCCAGGACCAGAGGGGTAGTCACCTTGGAAATGACAGTTGGAAGATGTAAGACCATGACTGCATTCTTCGTGGTCGACGCAGGGGCTGCTTACAATGCTTTGATTGGGCGTGATTGGTTACACCCACATTTCTGCATCCCTTCTACCCTCCACCAGTTTATGATTTTCTGGGATGGGGATGAAATCCAAGTCATATGGGGAGATAATAAGCCTTTCGAAGCTCGGGTCCATGTGGCTGATGCAGTTTTATATGAGGAGGAAATGGGTCCTGTGAGGCTTATTGGTTGTGACAAGTATGGCAAGCCTGAGAAGGCGACGATGAGGAAAAATCTGACAGATGGGGACTTATCCGATTTATTCAAGGAACTATCGAGGCCAAGTGTTATCTGTGAGCCAAGGCCGATAGTTGAAGTTGATGAACAACAGGTTGTTAATGGACCAAGCCCAAAAGGAGAAGGAGAAAATGCTAGCATTTAAAGCTAGCATGGCACGGCTGAGAGCATATCTCGCCGAAAGACGGGCAATGTTGTGGAGTGATATGTTGGCCAATATGGCCGAAATCATAGAAGAAGGTGAGTCAGGGGATTGTCGAGATGTTATTCAGCTAGAAGAGCTAGATGCAGCTCCAGCTAAGCTAAAGGATCTGAAAGCCGATGTTCAGGATCCCTTGTTGGAGATCAATTTGGGAGCAGAAGAAGAGCCTCGGCCAACCTACATAAGTGATCTTCTAGAACCTGACTTTAAAGCTGAACTGATCTTGTTGCTTAGAGAATATAAGGATTGTTTTGCTTGGAATTACACTGAGATGCCGGGATTACCAAGGCAGCTAGTCGAGCATCGACTACCTATAAAAGAAGGTTTTAGACCGTTCAAGCAAGCGCCTAGACGTATGTCAACAGAAGTGACTATGAAAGTGAAGGAGGAAATTGAGAGGTTGCTCAAAGCAGGATTCATCCGGACCACAGGTATTGCGATTGGCTATCCAATATCGTTCCCGTAGTTAAGAAGAATGGAAAGATTAGGGTGTGCGTAGACTTCAGGAATTTAAATTTAGCTACTCCAAAAGATGAGTATCCAATGCCCATGGCCGATCAATTGATTGATGCGGCCGCCAAGAATGAGATTCTGTCATTCATGGACGGTCACTCAGGATACAACCAGATATTCATAGCAGAGGACGATGTTAACAAAACAGCATTTAGATGTCCAGGAGCCATAGGCACTTTCGAATGGGTGGTGATGCCCTTTGGTTTGAAGAATGCCGGAGCCACTTATTAACGAGCTATGAATGCAATCTTCCATGACATGATTGGGAAATTCATGGAAGTATACATTGACGACGTGGTGGTGAAATCAGCGACAAAGACGAAACATCTGGCCGACTTGAGGAGATCATTTGAGAGAATGACAACCCATGGTTTGAAGATGAACCCACTTAAATGCGCCTTTGGAGTGACAGCTGGGAATTTTCTAGGGTTCTTGGTGCATCGGAGGGGTATCGAGGTTGACAAGAATAAAGCTAGGGCGATCATCGAAGCTCAACCACCTCGCAACAAGAAGGAGTTATAAAGACTAATTGGTCAAATCACATACTTGGGAAGATTTATTTCAAATCATGCTGGAAAGATCCATACCTTTTCTCCGCTCTTAAAGCTCAAATCAGAGGAAGACTTTCGATGGGAAAAGCATCACCAACATGTGTTTGAATCAATCAAGGAATATCTTGCTAACCCTCCTATCCTTATGCCACCTAGGAAGAAACAGCCACTGAAGTTATATATTTCAGCTGCGGATGAGTCAATCGGAAGTTTGTTAGCCCAGGATAACGAAGTAGGGAAAGAACAGGCGGTGTATTACCTTAGTCGTATTTTGACACCGGTTGAGCGTCAATATACGCCAATCGAAAAAATGTGTCTTGCTTTGTATTTTGCTGCTCACAAATTGAGAATATATATGCTACCTGTTTTAGTTTATGTGATTTGTGCCACTGACTTAATTAAGTATATGCTTTCTCGTCCAATAATTTCTAGACGAATAGGCAAGTGGTCCTTAGCCCTTATGGAATTCAGTTTCCAATATGTGCCTCAAAGGGCCGTGAAGGGCCAAGCACTTGCTGATTTCCTAGCTGACCATCCATGCTTGGATGTTGATCCGGGAGTCTATGATGCAATGGAGTTATGTGCTATTCAACTAACTCCTTGGACTCTAATTTTTGACGGATCCAGCGCAAATGATGTCGGGGGAGCTGGAGTTGTAATAATTGCGCCAAATGGCAGGAAAACAACATATTCTTTCTTTTTAGATTTCAAATGTTCTAACAATCAAGCAGAATATGAAGCTCTGATTATTGGTCTTGAAATACTCTTAGAGATGGGGGCACAGACCGTTGAAATCATAGGTGATTCAAGTTTGGTGATCGGTCAGTTGTCCAACAATTTCAGGTGCCAAAGTTGGCACCTCAAACCATTCCACTCTATAGCCATGCAATTACTACAAGAATTTGCAGAGGTAAAGGTCAAGCATGTTTATAGATTGCATAATAAAGAGGCCAATGATTTGGCTCAAATAACATCTGGCGTTAGGGTGCCAGAAGGAATAATGGAGAATTTGATCAGAATAAAGAGAAGATCATTACACTCAGTTAAGGCGAGGGAAGAATTGTTAGCGGAGGTCTTTGCAATCGAGGTGGAAGACGATATGGAAGAGAATGATTGGAGAACACCGATCGTCGATTTTCTCAAAAATCCAGACCCTAAGGCTGATAAGAAGCTAAAGATCAAAGCTCTTAAGTTTGTGATGATTGATGGAGACCTATTTAGGAAAAGCATCAAAGATGACCTACTCTTAAGGTGTATCAGTAAGAAAGAAGCCATGAAAGTAATGGGAGAGACCCATGAAGGGATATGTGGTGCTCACCAAGCTGGAATAAAAATGAAGTGGCTGATTAGAAGGAACGCTTATTACTGGCCCGGGATGCTTAAAGATTGTATCACATACGCCAAATGATGTCAAGCGTGTCAAAGGCATGGGCCAATCCATAGAGTCCCGGCGATTGAATTACAACCAATCATAAAACCATGGCCTTTTAGAGGATGGGCTATGGATTTGATAGGGAAAGTTTATCCACCTTCTTCTAAACAACATTGTTTTATCATTGTGGCAACTGACTACTTTACCAAGTGGGTCGAAGCGGTGCCCATGAAGTCAGTGCACCAAGAAGATGTGATTCAGTTTATCAAACAACATGTTATTCATAGATTTGGGATCCCAGAATCAATCACAACTGATCGAGGTTCAGCCTTTGTCGCCCAAGAAGTGCAGGCATTTGCAGCAGAGTACGGGATCAAGCTCCTAAACTCAACCCCTCACTTTGCACAAGGAAATGGTCAAGCCGAGCCGTCTAATAAGACGCTAAAAGGCATCATTGAAAAAATGGTGGAAGATAACCCTAGGGTGTGGCATGAACTGTTATCAGAAGCACTTTGGGCATATAGGACTTCTCAACGGTCAAGCACAGGTGTGACTCCATTCATGCTCACCTATGGTCATGATGCAGTTTTGCCTATGGAAGTAACTGTGCGGTGAATGAGATTTGCATTGCAAAACAATTTGACCCCTGTTGAATATAATGAGTTTATGTTGATCGAGTTAGAGGACCTAGACGAAGTAAGGTTAAGGGCTCTTGACCACATACAAGTTCAGAAAAGGCGAGTAGCAAGGGCATATAACAAGCGTGTTAGGGCCAAAATCTTCGGTGAAGGTGACTTGGTTTGGAAGACTGTCCTCCCAATGGGTGTGAATGATCGAAAATATGGAAAATGGTCACCAAATTGGGAAGGTCCATTTATGGTTTACAAAGTCTTAAAAGGAGGCGCATATCATTTGCAAGATCTTGACGGGGAAATACACCCTCGACCGATTAATGGCCAATACTTAAAAACTTATTATCCTACAATGTGGGAGACAATGGAGAATAAAACCAAAGATGGTTAAATAACTAGAAGCCATAGAGACATGCATTTCATTCGTTGTTTTCATTGAGTACAAAAGTTTATAAGAGTCATTACCTATCATTTTCTTTGCAGATAAACAAAATGACTCCTGAGCTCATCCCACTCTTTCTTAGACATGGCCATTTTTTCATCCTCTTTGGCCTTCTCAGCCCTCAGTCGAGGAATTTCTTTTGAGACCGATTCTCTCTGCTGATCAATTTCCACATTCTTTTGATAAATCTCCTTCATCTGAATAGCAAGTCCTTCTCTTGACCGGGCAGTTCCAGTTAATTCCATCTTGAGATGTTCTATTTCCCGTTCGATCTCTGCTGTTCTCTGGTTTTCCTTAACATGAGTTAATTTTAAGGCCCGAAAATGGGATACATTGTCTTTCTCTTGTTGAATCAAAGATTCTTGCTCCTGCAGCTTTTCATGGATCGTAGACGACAGCTCACCAGCCTTCTGAGAGGAGAGCTGAAAATCAGAGACGAGAGTTGGGAATCGACTCTAGATAGATTGAAGATGGTTTATCTGTTCTTGACTTAAGTCATGATGATCTATCAAGACGGACATGGCATCAGTCTCATCAGCAGCCAAACTTGGCATCTCAGAGAGGTCTCAGGACACGACGGCGACTAATAATCTTTTTGCCCCCTCAATATCTGGTAGACGACTGGAAGACGTAGGCACAACGACTGGCTCGTTCATCAAGGGATCTAGATCAAACCCAGCCGCTATCTCGGAAAAGTAGGCATCAAAGTCATCGATCGTGCTATAAGTTTGAAGGGGCGGTTGGGACTGAGAATTTGAGCCAGCCTGTGAATGAAAGGAATTTAATAAAACAAGTCAAGGCTTGAATAAGAGAATAAGTCATAAATACTCACACCAACTGGTGAAGGCCGAGTCACGTGGCCAAAGGTGCGTCTGGTAGCAAACGCTGGTGCAGAGTAAGGGCTTGGAACTCTTGGTTGTGTGCCCGGGGCAACCTGCAAGAGAAGAATGTTTTTTGAATGCCTAACTTTGATAAAGATATACGGGAGATGTACTGAAAGATCATCTTGAAAATCACCTCAGCCCCATCAAACTGATGAAAGACAGTGTTTGGTTGAGTAGTGGCTTGTTGACACTCGACTCCACTAGTGCGAGGGTGATCAGCATTCGCAGTGTCATCACAAATGTTGATCCTATCTCTTGACAACGACCTAGCCGAGTGTGAGGAAACCTGTCTGTAAAGATGCCATGAGAATCGGCAAGGTACATTGATACTGGAAGCAAAAACAAAGCCTAGTTACCTCATGGCTGGTAGAGATATTTGTCTCAACTGAGAAAGTTGATGGCATCAAGGGGTCAAGATTTTCTTCCTCCTCTTCACCAATCAGAGGTAAAGGGTTGGTGGTCCTGACTGAGGTAACCTGTTTTTTTCCTTTCCTTGCCCTGATCACCTGGAATACCATTGAGGTTAAAAAAAAGGTATATAGGTGGTACGTATAAGTAAGCTAAAGTTCTGAGCGATTATGCTTTAAAGAATTCATAAGGAAAACCTTAGGCCTCTTGGGGGGCACCACGTTTTCCTCGTCAGCCTCAGGCATTTCCGACTCATGATCAGAGACTCCCAATGGGTCAGAGAAGTCGACAGCTGCATAAAGGAAAAGATGTTTTTATGATCTAAAGCATAGAACTTGGTATTTATATATATGTAAGTATGAGTGTGTACCTTCTTTGGACGACTTTGATTTTTTCATCCTGCTGGGAGAATCGGGATTAGCCACACTGATCCCTTTTGATGGCTTGGTCGAGGTTCCTTGGGGTTTAATAAAAATGGAGGCAATCCTATTTGTTATAGTGCGAGAATCCTCCACCATAACCTCCGCAATATGGTTTCCCCACCAGTAGTCAAAGGATGGAGAAGTATCAGGATTTTCCAGAAATGGCTGTAAAGAGAACTTGTTACAGAGACGATTAAACCGGGAGGATACTCTCTCCACCATTTCTTTTGAGGTGAAGACTACTCGTTCCAAGAAAGAAGTATTGAAAGATCGAAAAGGCGGAAGTGGAACGAGTTGGGTAAGACCAAATTGTCTAGCAAATTGTGGGGGATTGTAATACTCCACCCCACACTTACTATTCGGAGAGCCCATTCTTAAACATCCATAAGAGATGTCCTTAGCAATCAAGAAACTGGCCCAGGTTTGTGTATGTTCGTCTTGGCAACTCGGTGGAGCTTGGGCAGGGGGATAGGAAAGCCACAAAGGTCGCCTCGGTCTAGGAGAGAATGGCAAGAAAAGATGACTGGCCCGGTATGCAGGAAGTTTGTAAAAGAAGGAGAATATGGTTTTGAACGATCTTTTTCCTGGTTGAATATGTGCATAATGATAGCCGGGAACAGGAACAGCAGTCGACAAGTCGAGATCGGGGTAAAGCTCAGGGAAATATGCGTATTCCCAAAGTTGTAATAGCCAGAATGGCCCAAAACAGGTTTTGAAGTTGGAAGCAACATATTCCCCGATGCCACGGTAAAGATAAGAAAGCAAAAAAGGAGCGAGAACAAGTTTCTCGCCTGAGTGAAGAGCAAGGGCCAATTGAGTAAATTCCTTAGTGACTGTGAGCGAAGAAAAGCAAAATAAGAACCTGTTTAGCCAGTACACCAAGAAAGAAATATGCTCGGCGATGGAAACCGAAGTTCCTTTACCTTTGCTGGCTTTAATAAAAGGGCCATGGGTAGTAATGTGCTCAGAAGCGTCAGGTTTCTTTGGATATTCATAAGCTACTTCAGGAATGGTGAGAAGTGAATTTACTTCTGTACCATGAGGCCTAAGCCCGGTAAGAAAACAGATATCTTGCACCGTCGGGCCAATCATACCACACCGAAGATGGAAGGCATTGGTGGAACTTGACCAGAAAAAGAGTAATGAGACGAGAACCTCCTTGTCGATAGAGATTCAATTTTTTGAAAGAAGGATGGCATCGTAAATGCCGACCTCCTTCCATAGTGCTCCGTAGTGAGGTTCGACCCGATCAACCCAATCAATCCAGTCACTCTGAGGGTTCGGGCAATTTCTGAAAAGGTTGGAAGAATCCACGGGGCTAGAGAACTCGCGCTGAAACGGGAGTTGCTCTTCAGCTAAGGGACAGTAGGGAAGAAGTGAGGTTGGTGGATTATCTCTGAAGGTTGGGGCAAGGCCGATTCTAGGTGAGGAGTCAGCACCTAGGACACTGGCTAACACTTCACTAGTGCTGAAAATATCTGTAGCAATGATCTCGTTGACGAGATTTTGAACAATCCCATCCCGACTGGAAGATTTATTACTGGCCGGAATTGCCGTATTCTCAGCGACAATCGTTTTGTTCTTATTACCACCCATTGGCTGAAAGCCTAAGGCAAGGAAAGAATGAAACTAAATTAGAGAATAACCAGTGAAAAGGTTAATGGAAGCCAAAATTTTGGTTTACTGACGAAGAGGAAATTTCATTTCAAAATACTCACTGGTCAACTGGCCGGAGCCGACGTATTTACAACGGCAATTGTTGGATTTCTTTTGATACCCTTTATCTAAAATCTAGCAAAAAGGGGTGAGCAGACCTCTAAATAATAGCTGTTATCAGGAAATTACAACAATTATTGGCTTATAATGAAAATAGACGATACTAATTCTGTTTATAATCATGTTCAAGTCAAGTTAAGGCCACTTAATTCAGTACTCCAGATAAAACGCCAAGATTGATTTTTATGTTTGAGCCATTGGTGTACATGTATATATGTATAAACATGTATCTGAAGAAAATGCAATGCACATACCAGTAGTCGCCGTTTTCGGCGTGGTGACGATCTTTGATTTGTTCCTTAGCTTTTTAGATTTATCTGGTGATAGAAAAACAAGGAACCAACTGCGCAACAGACCATGGCTTATTCAAGATCAAATGAGCAGTTTCTCTAATGATGGGTTTGTCTGTATCCACCTTAAAGATTGCTGGACCTTCAGTTTTCACGAACCAGTTTGTAAACCAAGAAGCTCCAAGAATGAACCAAGAATTTGAGAAAAAAGATAAGTAATCTTTTTGGAGTTTAGTGTTTTTTATATTGTGGAGGCTGTTTGGGAGATATGGCGTCAAGAATGAGTTTTTATAACTCATCAACTTTCAAGATGGTGACGAAATAATTGGAAGCAGTTAAAGTGGCGACTGATAGCCAAAAATCCGGTCACGTGGGAGATCCAAGTTAGGCATCGTGGAGCTTTGAAGCTATAGGGTTTGGTGTTGTCTATAGAGAGTGGGGCGTCAGAAAAGTTGCAACGGTTGACTTTTAAAAAAAGTAGCTAAAGCTTCAATTGTTTTAACTAGCTTGTGACGAGTACAACAGTGCAGCGGCCAGTAAAGGTGCCTTGAGCTCCCAACCCAGCCGTCAGAGACAACACATCAAGGTTCATTCACGCTCCATATACTGACTTGCAACTTAATTTAAGTTATGGTCAGCATTCATTAAAGTGGGTTTGCATGACAATTGTGGATAGAGTGATTGCGCTTTGAAAGCCGTGGTAATGCTGTTTTAATTTAGATATTGATTGTACCTAGTGGTCTATACTTATTTGAGCACGT